TCGCACTCATTTCAAAAATTAGATTCTTTTAATCAATTTGAAAAAAGTCAAATTATTGTTTATGATTTGATGAATTGTTGTCAGATTAGATTTGTATAATTAATTCGGTTCATTTTAATTTTGCGTCTTTATTTTCATTTAATTTATTATTTTTTAAAATCATTTCGATTACTTTTTGCAACAGATGAATTGATTACATTTAACATTTTAATTACCTAAATGTAAAGTTTCTCCACAATAAAATTAAACAAGGTTAATTTCTTGCGAAATAATTTCTTCTTTTAATTAATATGATTATGCTTCAGCTTCTAGCTAGAATGATTCATAATTTATAATTCGAAAGAATAACTGTTTTTGAATTACTTTAATTAGTTTAAAAAAAATAAAGAACGAAGGAAATATTACCGTAAATCAATTCATTTTTCCATTTTTTATTCTAGCTTTCATGTTAAAATTTTTTGAAATTAAATTAGTTTTTTATCATTTTTCTTCTCACACTTTCGTTTTAATTTTAGAAATTTATGTAACATAATTTTTACAAATATACTTCGTTATAATTTATGCTAATAAAATGCAAATTTTCTGCTTCAATTCTTTGCATTGCTACAATGTATTTTGTCGGATACTTTCAGTTAAATTTTATTAAATGTTAAGGCTAAAATAATTACATAGTAAATGAATCAGTAAAATTCAGATTTTCAATGAAATAATCGATGGAATATTACCTTTCCGGATACTTCTTGTCCAGCAAAATAGGCACTTGCAGCATTATTGAATTCAATATCAAATCTAGTCAATTTAACCATCGTTTAATTCATCCTATAAAAAAAAAAAAAACACTATTATCGTCATCAATTTCATTATATTCTTTTCATGCAATTAATTTTTTTAACGCATAATATTCAAAATTATTATCATTATAAACAGTTAGATTTTGCTAACTAATATTTGATTATCATTTCACAAAGTATTATTTTAATTGTTGCAAAAAAAAAATTACTGTACAATGACTGTATATTATCAATCAATATAAAATTATAATTATAAGTTCATAAATTATAAATCATTGATTAATTTCTGCTTATAAATTTACTCCTTAACCAATATGAACTACTTATCGATCAATAATGTAAAAGCATGAAATCATTAATCTATTATTAGTAAAAAAAAAAAAATTGTTTATTTGTGAAGATAAATTATTATCAATTGTATCAATCAAATATATTCCTATTTTCATTTAATTCTCTAAATTTCTATCATCATTTTCTAATTTTTCAACAAACAATTTACGCCGAAAATAAAAATGAAAGATCGATCGTTCTTCAGGAAACATTCGCGGAAGTTTTATTTATTTCTTTTTTTTTTTTTCTTTTTGAATTCAAAACTAACAATATTCACTAAGAGGATTAGAGAAAGAAGCAGAGAGAGAGAGAGAGAGAGTGAGAGAGTGAGAGGGAGGAAGAAAGAAGGAGAAGGGAAACAAAAAAAAAAAAAGAAAGAAAGAATAGAGAAAGAAACTGCATTTTCACTTGCATAATGAATTATTTCAATCACAAACGACTCCCAATTCCCACTTTCACATTTATTTAAGCAAAAAAAAAAAAAACATAAATAAATAAATTACATAATATTTCAGGCTTGTTTGTTTCCGTAAAATTTTTCATTTTTTATTCTAAAAGAAACGGAAAAGTTCCATGCAAATTTTAAGCAATAAATAATTAATTTTAAATGAAAA